AGAGTTGCAAAAACCGGGTGAGCAAATCATCCTCATCCCTACATGAACACAACCGAACACCCCACACCGAAAGGGAGACGCTTGCAGCAGGCAGCTGTCCACGACGGCCAAAGGCGGCCTCGCTAAGCGCAGCTCATCGCCAGCCCGGTACTTGCCTTCGGAGCACGTCCTAGCATCACATAATTACAGCTCAGCACGACGTCCTCGAAAATAATCAGCCTAACATGGCTGACCTTTGCGATGGGTTCGTGCTGCCGATGAACCCTTAAAAACCACATACGATCATTCAGACGGATGGCATTCAAGTCTCGATGGCAAATCTTGATGAGTGGTTTCTAGCACGACAAATTGGGACTAAGTAAGGGCTGGCGCATTGATTCAGATTGGACCTATGGGCATGCATGGGGGCTTTACCTTCATGTTGCACCGGGTCCCGAGCACGGGGCCGCGCCTGTTTTCACGAGGATCGCCCTCATGCCGGCCCTCATGGCGCCTCACATCATGGTGGGGCAGATACAAAACCAACAACGTCAGGTTGTGCACACTACGAACAATATGTGTGTATTTACAGTATGTAAAAAAATTATATAACCATGTGTGTGCATGTCCTGTGGATCGACTCCCGGGGCCGTGGTGTGCGCCAGCCGCCAGCCATTGCTGCGGGACGACTTGGCCTTCTGCGCCGACCGCCTCGCGTGCAACGCGCGTCCACGCCCTTTCGACGACCTTGGCGCGTCTAGCCAAACTAGCCAAAAGGCCGGTGCGCGGGCACGCCAATGCATGGTCGCCGTATGCATCGACGACTTGCCCGCAGCCTGGGGTGGGGCCGCAACGACTGGGCCACATGATGCCACATGTATAGAGGGAGGGAGGCGCAAGCGCCGTGGCAGGGCAAGCTGCATGGCATGCGGGTCAATCGTGGTGGTGGGCTCTGTTGGCACGGCTGTCAACCATGCGCCGGCATGAGGGCCGGATTGCGACCGGAGCAGGGCCCGGCACTAGGTGCTAGTCGCCGAAAGCTGCTTCTCTTGCCTGCGGCGGTCGAGCGCCCGCGAGCAGGTCTGGCCATTCGGGGCAAGTTGCCCAGCCCTCGTCGAGGAGGAAAGCTCGCGCCTCCGCAGCTGCCTTCAAGCAGGAGACGCAGGGCGTCTGGTTCCGCGAGAGCTTCAGTGCATGCTGCCGCGAAACCGGGTTGACGCGTGTGCAACACCGGTCTGCCCAAGCGGCCCAGTACGCTGCCGGGGCTGACCGCTCAGCAGAAATCACACCCAGTCCGCCCAACGCGGCAGGCAACGAGGCCAAGCAACGTGTGAGCTCGCTCGTGTGGTCGTCAAGGGGGCCTTCGCCAACACACGCCAGCAGAGTCTTCCAGACGGCCTGGTCGTGAGAGCGGGCATACGCAGTTGTCAGTTGCGGAGGCACCGTGCGCAAGACATGGTTGGCTCGCGGGGAACGCCGCGAGCAGGATCCATGCGCACTGCAAGTCAGTCAGCAAGGAGAGCTGGTCCAACAACTGCTGTTCCTCCCGCATGCGCTGTTGCCCCCAGGCGGCGACGAAATCTGCATGGCCGATCGGCGCCCCCAGCACGACGAGGCCACGCTCTGCTGGGACTCGGTCGGCTCGCCAGACGTCTGCTCCCAATTCCGCGAGGCCTGGCGGGGGAGGCGTTTCCGCGATGCTGTAAGCTCTGGTTTTGCCGTTGTGGGAAGCGATGCCACAATGCTCCTGCACCGCGTTGGCGATGGTGTCGCGGGCCTCGCGGGCTCGCTCTTGCGTCGTCAACACGTAGAGGTCGTCCAGAAAAGCCAACAACTTGTCCTCGTGGTGCAGGGAAACCGATGCTTGGACGAGTGCGTCGCTAAAGCGTATAAGGCCGGTGCCAGTGGGTCGCCTTGCTCGCAGCCCTCGCCTTGACAAATGTCCCGGCATGTTCCTTCTGTATCCCACCAGCAGTATGCAGATGGCTGCCCATAAAAAAACGAGCAAATGGAAGCAGCTCGGGGGCCACGTCTCGCAATTTAGTGAGGAAAGCGGCACGGGACATGCAGTCGTACGCGGATCGGCCATCTAAGGAAACCACGACTGTGTCGGCGGTGGCGTCGAGAGACGCTCGCACGCACGCGGCCAATGCATCCGTGCCCGCCCGGGTTTGCAGGGCGAACTACAAAAGTCGCGTGGCTTGCCGCGTACGCCCCTGTCGGGTTTCTGGAGCGCCGTCAGGCGGGCCATGGCGATCCGTGCAGCGACCTCCGGAGGCACCTGCGCATTCGCAAGTCGCGTCGCAGAATGAGCGAGGATCTCCAGGGCTTCGGCATCTTGAAGCAGAAGTTTTAGATGCTCGGCTCGCATGCCCGAAAGGCCGGCAGCGCAACCCCTCTTGGCATCGCGGAGAGCCGATGACGCCGCGGATGTCCCCAACTGCAGCACCTGTCGCGGTTGGTGTTGCAGAACCTCCGGTGCGATGGCTGTTTTCAGTTGCGCAGGACGCCGGGAAGGGTCTGTCAAAGCCCGCCACGTGGTCTCGTTGCCTGGAGCCAGCTCCGCTGACGTAAGGACTTGGCGAGCACGTGACACCTCTCCACGGCGCACCGTCGCGCAAACAGTGGCCCTTCTTCGTTCGGCCGCTGTTTCTGCATTGATTGCCTCCGCACGCTGGCAAGCGTCACCGCCGTGCCGTGCCGCTGCCAGCAGAGTGCGCCACTCGCCCCGTTGAAATGCGGTAGCCGCTAGCCAGGGCCAAAAGTTCATCTCGCCCTTGTGTTCCGCGATGGCTGGTCCGAGCCAACAGCATGCGGGGCGTTAGTAGGAAAAGTTTCCACGCACGGGACTGCGAGGCCACCTCCTGCCCATCAGTTTGGCGCAAACGGCGGAGTGCGAGTGTCAAGGCGCCACGCACTGCCGCTCGCATGAACTGCGGAACATCTTGCATGGAAGGGACGGGGTGGCGCAGCTCGTCTTGGAGGTCCACCTCGTCCAGTGCCAGCCAGACGGCATCCGCAAGGTGAGCGGAGGGCGCGCGCGGCTGGGCCGGCTCTCGCTGGCGGCCTCGTCACCTGCGGTTGGTCATGGCGGCGGCGTCGGCGTCGCCAGTGCGAAGTGCGAACTGCCTGCCGGGGTCTGGTCACCGCGGCTCGCACAGTCTGCCAACGCCGGTGCCGATGTGGCCGCAGCTATGCCTGATTATGCCTGCGTATACCCTTCGAGCAGGGTCGCCTGCGGGGCGGCAGTGAGGTAGCCGACTGCATCCTGGCACAACAAGACTTCCTCACGCAACGTCAGCGGTGCTTCTGCAGGGCCAGCATCGCTGCCCCGACACAACAGCATCCGCCGCATGTTGTGCGGCATCGGGACGGTCGTGGTCGCATCGCATTCGGCGACGGCGTAGAGAAGGTGCGCGAGGTCACGTGGGAAGACTGGGCGTGGCTCGCGCAAAGCACGCAGCAACGCATTGCTGGCAGGCTGTGCCGCTGGCGTTGGGCGTCCGTCGTGAGCATCCCTGCGGCCTCCTGGAGCAGGGGGATGTAAAATCAGGAACTGGCGGTTCGCTCGGCGGCCGCGCATCCTGCCATCGCGGCGGGGGCGCCCGGACTGCGGGGGAAGGAGGGGGCATATGGCAGGTTGCGGCAGTGCCGCCTCCCGGGCGCAGCGAGGCTTGGTGACCGCGGGCAGGCGTACGGAGTCGTGTCCCTCAGCGTGTCCGGCACCCTGAAAAGCTCCTTCCGCATCGTCCACCGGCCTGTCGGCCGCAGGCGGGAGCAGGTTCATTTGGGCAAGCGCATGCAACGCTCGAATGCGTCGCGGGTCGCGTCCGTCGGGCGGTCCGGGTGATCCGCTTCGCCTATATGCGTCTGCCATATTGGTGGGGGTGTGGCGTGATGTGGCGTGCACGTCCTGCGGCACGCGGCCACGTGCGCGGCTGTGGTGCTGCAGGGACGTGCAGTGGCCGGCAAGATCCGGCGCCACTTGGTGGTCGCTCAACGCGGCCAAACGTGTGCCCGTTCGGCAACGAGCATCTCCCTGCGGCATGGCCTGCAACGCGGTGTGGCTTGCACAGGCTCGGGCAAGACTGGCGTCATGCAGGTCTGCGAGCTCGGGGCAGGCATTTGGCTCCGCTGGGACGGCGGGGCATTCCGGCCTCGACGCTGGTTGTCTTGGGGCGCGGGCTTGCTCGCCGACGCGGGCAGCGGCTTGCTCGCGAGCCTCCCATGAGGCGTCATGGTTTGTGATCGTCGCGGCGGTTGCCGCGCGCTGGAAGCTGGGCTGCACGACGTGGTGGGAGTGCTGGAAGATTGGGTGCATGAGTCGCCGCTGCCTCGTGCAACACGCGGCTCAACAGCTCGGTAGGTGATTGGCCCGCTGCGGACGCGAGGTAGGCGAGTTCAGACTCGCCTCCCGCGGCCATGCACGAGCAGCTCCGATGCTGCGGTCGCCCATGCTGGAATAGGCGCCCCTTTCCAAAGGAGCCGTGCCACAAAACCAAAACAGCGGCTGCCCCGAGCAACACACCCAAACACAACCAGACCCAGCTGTGTGAGCAGGCCCCCACCCGTGGGGAAGTAGCGCTCCCGCCCACGCAGGTAACCATGAGTGGGTGGACGGCCGACTCGCGGCAAGCGCTGGGCAGGCGGGCCATTTGCGGCACTGTCTGCGCTCCCCAGCGATGTGCCGCCCAGCTCAACGCGGCCAGCGCGGATGTCCAGGCGCCGATGTCCACGGGGAGGACTCGGCCCCCAACGTTCAAATCGCTGCACACGGGGCCCCTTGAGCAGCTTGAGCAACTTGAGCCGAAATAGCTCTTGAGCCAAATTTTGAAGTTCACGCTATCTATTCTTCGGTGGGGTTGTGGGAAATGTTTGCTGGGAATGGTATGACAATTTGACATGTGTGTCCTTGGACGGATTTGCTCATATGTTGTGTTTGTTGTGCATGCATATATACACACAAGTATATGCAGTTGGTATGTATGTATGGAACATGATCCATACAATATACACCCGTCTTATTCAATATTATTCAATGGTTTCGTGACACTCGTCTTGATCCTGCCTTGGACATCATCGATGACGTCATCTCCTGATGCGAAATCTCAGGGTTGTTTTTCTTGAGGTTGTCATCCATTTGTTGGAATCCTTTGGGTATATCCAGGTGGGAACGAAACCTTGCAAACATTCGCAAACCCTGCAAGGCAGGCATGTTGCTGCCGCCCGATGCCTATCATGACGAAGTCCCCGAGGGGCAAGTCGTTGGATGCACCCGTCGCTCCAGACGCATCTTCAACGGCAGAATGGAAGAACTCCCAATCCCTGGGTTGGCCAGCGGGTTCTGTTCTACGTGGTCGACTTTTCTTGCAAGCACGAACATCTCATTGACTTTTGATCCTGCAGCCGAAATAAACCGGCACAGACGCGGTTTTCCCACCACCGTCGCCGTCTTGCCTCATAAGCACAGCACGGCGGCATTTGACGACAGAAATCAAACCGGTCAAACCAGCGAAACATCCAAACAACGCCTGTTGCAAACTCCAGCGCCGCAACGAAGGGGCCAGCCTGACAGCCAATACGCGTGATGATTCCATTCTAAACTAGCACTTTTAGGGGTACGGGTCTTCACTTACAAACTTCAACAATGGCCTGCAGCGCCAAGCCATCGTCACGCTGGAAGTATCGGCCCTTGTTTACCTCGAGAAAGCATTGCTAGCACAAACACACATGTGTGTTCTTCGGAAACACGCTGACACCTGGCCGTTGGTTTCTATTACGCGCAACAAGCATCACCTGATAAGTTGCTGTCTAGTTGCAGCGATGAGATGGCTGTCCTGCGGTGGCATCGCTCCAAAACACAAATCTGCAAAATTGTACGATCCTGTTATATCCTGTTTGCCTTAGCTAGGTAGTGCTTTGCGAGGAACGATGGGAAGAACCCTGGGTGGTTTGCCAGAAAACTGGTGACCACCGTGGTGGCAACACCGTGCGTCCCATGCGAAAGCTTAAACGACCCAACCGGCAGGGCCCTTGCTGCCCGCATTGGGCAGGAGGCGGCGGCCTTGCCCCAGGGAAGCTCATGCCGGCAGCATTTGTTTCGTGCCTTTGGTGGGCCTGCCCGGCCTGTTGGTGGCGTCACAAAACCTGCTCTGTCTTCTTTGTGAGTTGTTGCTCCATAGCGCGTTGATGCGTATAGCAACGGGAGGGCTGCTCCTTGATCGCGTTATATATTTTTTTATTTGTTAATTTTTTTTCCACACACCTTCTCGCGGACGGTACAAAAGCGGGGCCTTGGAAAGTTTGGAGATTGGGTTTTGGGGTTTTAGGGTTTTAGGGCTTTAGGGTTTTAGGGTTTAGGGCTAGGCTGCCTGGGTGGATCCATTCAGGTGGGTCTGGGGTTCGGGAGTCTTGGTGGTTCTCGCCGGGAGGCCGCTGGGGGCGGGGCATGCTGCCAGTGTTCGTCTTGCAGGATTTATCTTGCTCATTTTGCACGGGTCAACCCCTCAACCCGGGTTTGGAAGGATTTCAGCCGGCTGAAATCCTATGATCTTGGGGGTTTCGACTGAGTCCAGGGAGAAGGTTAGACAGCCGGCTGAAATCCTTGGCTGCGGGTGCCTGGTTACCCCGGTGCCG